CTCTCTTCTTATCAGCTTCACTCTTCACTCTAGTCCTCTGCCGCTCGTTGTCTTAATGATCTCATGCAAACTACTTCTTGTTGTTTTTAAGTGCCATTGAGTCAGTTCCAACCCATAGTGACCCTGCATAGGATTTCCAAGGAGCATCTGGTGAACTTGAACCTCAGACCTTGCAGTACATTGACCCACAGTACCTCTTAGGTATTACCAAACACCAACTTGAACTGCCAACCATGTGGATCAAACCTACTTTGCAGCCCAGCACATTAACCCACAATGGCATACCAGGACTCCTAGCTCTCCCCACTTTTGATAGCCGAAGTCTAAGTTGCCCATCCATATCAACCCAAGCTTGATCCTTGATATAAAGATTCCTTCCTTACCTTTCAGTTGGGAGTTTTGCTTCATCCATAACCAAAGGTCCACCTTATCGAGTTATAGCAATTATATACTTCCATATCTTTATCTCATTGAGTTCTGGTCACCAAGCCATCCAGCCTAGGTCATATGGATATTATCTGCAACTTTGGGAGTTCTCACACATCTCCCTCGACTTCAGACCAGCTGGCTGCCTCACTCTTTTAACTCTATCCCCCAGTGGCTAGGTCAGTGTCCTTGGATTTGGGAGTTCACATATCTCCTAGTTTGTAGGATAAGCAGTGGACTGCTTACCACAAGGTTGGCAGTTCAAACCCAGCAGCCCCTCTTGAAACCCTATATACCTCTCCTATGAATCGGAACTGATTTGATGGCACATAGTACTACCACCAGCACCTAGTCATTTGTTGGGTGGTACAAAAGCTATGGCTAGAAGAACCAAAGTAAGTATTTCACCGCACCACAAAAGGGGATGTACTTCTATTTGAAATAATTCCCTTTGTCCAAGATTTGTTTTGATTTGTTTTGTTTTGATTTCAAGATTTTTAATCACTGAAAAAGTTAACATGGTGATATTTGAAATCTTATCCATTGTTTCTAACCTGATGATTTTAGGTAAAGAAATGTTTTTATTAATAGTTTTATCTACCCTGAAACCTTCATGTAATGCTATCCCATTTTTCCATTAACCAAGATACAACCTATTAGATCTCTTTCAGATTTATTTCCATCTACACATTTAACAGAAACTATGTGCCATGACAGCAAACAGGATGCTGGAAATATGCATAATTATATAGTACAAATACACATAGACATGTAATTTTTGTTTTAATTTGGGGAACATGGTGGCTTTGTAAGATAAGCACTGGACTATGAACCACAGAGTCGGTAGTGGGAGCCCACCAGCTGCTCTGGTATAGAAAGATGAGGTTTTCGGCCCCCGCAAATATGGGAGGGATTACAGTCATTTCAATGACATGACGTGTTTGATTTGTTGAGTGTGCAACTGATGATCTGTTCTGTAAACTTTCACTCAATTCCCCCCTCCAAAAAAAAACAAAATAAAAAACATGATTTCTAGCCTCAGAAACACTGTACAGGGTTGATCTGGGTCAGAACTGACTTGACAGCACCTAACAACAACATATTGGTCTGGCACTGTGGGTTAATGCATTGGACTGCAGTGTCAGTTTGAACCACAAGGTCGGCAGTTCAAGCTCACCAGCTGCTCCTTGGAAACCCCATATAGGGTTGCTGCGGGTCGGAACCTACTTGACGGCACACACAACAACAACATGTGGAAGTGCCGTGGTTCTATATGATAAGCACTGAACTGCAAACCACAAGTGCATGATTCAAGCCCATGAGCCTCTCTGCAGGAGAAAACTGAGGCTTTTTGCTCCTTTGAAGATTTAAAGCCTCAGAAACCCTATACAGGGTCATTACGAGTTGGAACCAACTCCACGGCACTTAATAGCGGCAACAACATATTTATATACATTTTCAATAATAAAGGTCGCTTTGTTTAAATTTTATTCTCTGATTAACTCAGTGATAAAGGAGCTGTTATCTGAAACCGACTCTAGGTGGTAAAATGACTTGCTTAAGGCCTAAGTGCCATCTTGACTTTTTGCTGTAGGCACAGGTTTCTTTATATTTCTTACTGTCATTTTGTGTCTTTTTTTTTTTTTTTTTAACCTGGAATCCATATCAGTTTCCAAAATTCATCAAGAATGAAACCAATTCTAGTTTTTATCAAATTCATTGGCCAGATTTAATAAACCCATTGTCATCAAGTTAACTCATTCTTAGACTCCACGCATGTCAAACTAGAGCTCCTCCCCCAAGTTTTCCAATGACTGGTGTTTGGAAATCCGAGGTATCTCTGGGTGGATTCAGATTACCAACCTTTCAGTTAGTAGCCCAATACTGAAACATGTACCCCAAACAGGGACTCTCAAATTTGAGGGAAAGTTTGTTTTATACTTCATCTGTTGTTGTTGTTTTTTTTTTTTTGTTTTTTTTTTATGGTTTATTTTCTCTTGAGTAGCTTGACGATGCTGTTGGTGTGGTGGGAAGCTGGCAGACAGTTCGAGTGCCAGGAAGTGAAAATGAGCTCCATTTGACAGAACTGGAGCCATCTAGTCTCTATGAAGTTTTGATGGTAGCCAGAAGTGCAGCAGGAGAAGGACAGCCTGCCATGCTAACCTTCCGAACTAGCAAAGGTGAGCATGCATGATCCTCCTTCTGGAGAAGGAGCTGCCTGACTTGATGTAAAGTGTGTGCAAATTATCATGATTCCCTATGGATAGTAGAAATTCTTATATGAAAATTTATTAGGCATGCTTATTGTCACACCTTTTCTGGTCTTACGTGGTTGCAGTATTCCTTTGTACAAATAATTTTGAGAGCTTGTAGTATACAAGGGAATCCTGGTGTGGCCCTGTAGAATAAGCACTGGACTGCTATTCTAGGTCAGCAGTTCAAACCCACTAGCTGCTCCTAGGAAACCCTATACAGTGTTGCAACAACTTGGTATGTAAAACATTAGGGTAGGTGATGTTGGAAAAACAAAGGTAAGACTAGCTCCAGTCCAATGGAGCTTATCTATTCTAAGGAAGGTAAGACATGCATAAATATCAGCTATAAGACAAAATTTAATTCAGTACAGTTGATATTTAATGAATGCCTCCTATGTGCCAGGCATTCAGCAAAATAGGCAAAACTCCTTGGAGCATATGGAAAAGACTTATGACCAAGTGATAGATAAGTCCTTTAGAAAGTGGTAAGTATGGATACAGGCAGCATGTGGAATAAGTGTTATTATAATTTTAAGCACATGGTTAGAAAAGTTCTCAGTGAGGTGATATAGATAGAAAGGCCTGCAAATATCCAGGGGAAGAGCATTCTCAGCAAAGAGAAGAGCAGGTACAATCACTGGGAAGTGGGAGGTGCTCATTTACTTAGGAGCATCAAGGAGGCTAGTGTGATTAAAGTGTAGTTAAGTGCAAGTTAGTAGGAGAGGTGGCCAACAGGATGGAAGGATAGCCCACTCACACAGGACTTTGTAGACCACTGAGAGGACTTGGACTTGGACTCCTAGAAGGGTGGGAAGTACTGGCAAGTTGTATGCAGAGGAGTGGTATGATCTGCAATATGTTTTAATAGGATGGTTCTGACAGTAGTGGTGATTTATTATAGGAGGGCAAATAATATTGTAGCAGAGGTCAGAAGTAGAATGACAAATAATATAAGAGCTATATCAAGAACAGGAGGCAATGAGAGAACATTCTTTCTGTGGGGTAGATAGATTGTGGGGGTAGTAGGCCTGATTGAAAGGATGGCATCATAACTTGACCTTAAATAAACAAACAGACGTTAGTGGTGAGATGGGAATTGAATGGAAGAGTGTCAGTGTGGCCCTCTGGTAAGAAGGAAGTAGGATTGGGAAGAAACACCCTATTAGCATTTCTAAAGTACTCTTTCATGTAATTATTTTGACTGCCCAAAAAAGTATTATTTCTGATGTTAAACATAACTTGAATTAATTTTCACAATTAGTCTTCGGTCAGTTATAAGGTATAACCTGTAGGTATCCTGAATAATAAGAACAGATTTTAGTTTTTGAAAAATTACTCAATTTTATTTTTTTGTTTTGTGAAATTTTAAAACTTAGATGATAATTTGTGAAGAAACTTAGTTGATGTTCTTTACTAACAGATTATGTGTTTAATAATTAAGAAATATGTATAGGAAAGCCTTCATTCATCTCTTTTTTACTTGGGTTGTTTCTTTTCCATGTGTAAACTAAAGTTAGTATGATAATGAAAGACACATACTGTCTTTCCCTACAGAAAAAGACAAAGTAATTTTGTCAGTTCCTTGGATTAGCTAAATATTTAAAGTGTAATTCTAAGCTTTAGACACTGTTCAATTAAGCTCACATATTCATATCTGCATATCATTTGAAGTTTCCCAGTACTCTCTTCTTACTTTATATATACATAAGCTTGTGTTACAAGATATGTTTTTTTTTACATTTCTAGAGAAAACAGCCTCATCCAAAAACACTCAGGCATCTGCTCCACCCATGGGAGTCCCTAAGCAGCCTGTTGATTCAGAGGCAGTAAACAACAACTTTGGAGTGGTGCTTACAGAGTCCTCTAGACATAGCGGAGGTAAAGGGAAAAGTCTTCATTTTATTTATATTGTTCGTTTATAAACGTTACTCACCTGCTTTAGATTATTTGTCAGAAGGAGTAAGATTGGGTAGCTGTTTATTATTCAAATTGTGTCCTACCCTATAGATCTTTTAGGTCCTGTTTCAATCTCCTGTATTTAGGTTTGCTATAACCCAGTGTCATGATGGATGCTAAAGTTATAAACTCAGATTCAATAGATTTCTGATGCTAAATTTTTATAACAATAAAAGCTGAGGTTTTTGGGTTATTTTTTTGTTTAATTTTAAAGTGGGGAGACTGTTCTGGCGAAGTAAGTTAGATGTATATCTTGAACTGTGTCTGTCTGTCTCTGTCTCTCTCTCTATGTCAAAATGTATGGTGTTAACTATGGTAAGATTTTGTTGTTTTTTTTTTGTTTGAATTTAAAAGTATGTGTCATACTCTGTTTTATTGTTTATCTAGTTATTATGATTTTTTACATGTCTTGGCAGTAAACTTTTAAGAAAACTGCTGTTTCACTTCAAATTGTACACCTACCAGTTTTACAGTTGCAGCGTAATGTGATTTTTGTGATTGTGCTACTATACGTGGGAAAGACTTACGATTTCATTGCTGAGCTCTAGGAGTTTTGAGACTTCTTTTCCAAGTATTTGTAGTTTTTCTTTCATTTGTTTTAGACAAAAGTAGGCCATAGTATTTTGAACTCCCCTTTGGAGAGTGTCTACTACTTCTTCAGTGTAATGAGCCTCTTTTACTTGAGTACTTTCATCTCTGAGGAACATTTCAGCTATCTTATATAATTAACAAAATTTATATGACTAAAACTGACATCTGAGAATCAAGAAACTTTACTACTTATTTGACAAACTATACTTAAATATTGGAGCAGCAGAGATTAGATAGACTTTACCTTTAAGAAGTTTACAGTAACCATCAAGGGAGAAGAGCAGAAGCAGAATGTAGGACCCTATCCAAGAAACAGCAACACCAGAGATGGAGGCAGAGATGAGGACATGGAGAGCTAGAGCAGCTGAGGACTCTATACACATGGAAAGAAAAAGGCTGTGTGCTGGTGGCCAGGAGGCAGGCTTGCAGAATGTGCCCTTTTGTTGTTTAAACGATTATATGTTCCTGAGTGTTTTTGTGTACACCCCCTCCCAATTAACAAAAACAAAAAACAGAGGGAATAGAAGCAAGTACTGTTGAATGAGGATACATGAAGGGGATTGTAATCATTGCAATGAAATAAAATACCATAGGATGAGTATAAAACTGATGTTCTCCCATGTAAACTATCACTCAATTCTCAATAAAAACTTTAAAAAAAAAAAGAAGTTTACAGTATAATGGATGATACTGACAAACCAACAGCAATGTAGTGCGTAACATAGATCTGGTGTGGCACTGTAGGTTAAGTGCTGTACTGCTAACTACAAGATCAGTGGTTCAAATCTACCAGCCCTACTCCTTGGAAACTATATAGGGTCACTATGAGTTGGAACTGACTCCTTGGAAACCCTATACAGGGTCACTATGAGTGGCACTTAACAACAACATAGATAGAGAGTAATGGTAATTTATTGAAAGATTTCTCACTTTCCATGTGGGGGACCTGGGTTTCATTCTCAGACAGTCCATCCACCTCATAGATAGTTGCCACTTGTCAACCAGTGAAGGTTTACATGGTGCCCCGTTGAGAATGTGGATTAGGTGTTACGCTGCTAGCTGCAAGATCAGTGGTTCAAATTCACCAGGTGTTCAGCAGGAGAAAGATGAGGCTGTCTACTCCTGTAAAGTTTTATAGTCTCAGAAATTCTCCTTAGGGTCACTAGGAGTTGAAATCAACTCGATGGCAGTAAGTTTGGGATTTATGATGTTAAACAGCTTTTAAAAGAGCTTCCAGACTAAGATAGACTAGGAAGAAAAGCCTAGTGATCTACTTCTGATTAACAGCCCTGTTTCATGTTTTGTTTTGCATGGGGTTACTATGACTCAGGGACCAACTTAGTGGCAGCTCTGACAACGATTATTTTAACTTGTTATGCTAGTATTATGTATCATAAGAGAACTATCTGTTGTCAACCCACTTGATATAGAGGAAGGTGAGTGATAGCAAGAAAGACTTCACCTCAACTTCTAGAGCCAAGCCTCAAAAGACAAGAACAATATAGCTAGATAAAGAAACAGAAATAGTGTACTCTAAGCAAAGACATCTCCTTGAACAAAGATACATGTTAGATTTCATTTAGAGTTAGAGATGTCATTTAGAGACTAGATGTGACTGGGTCTTGTGGGAAGTGAAACACAACAGTGGGAAAAGTGTCTTGTCCAATGCACTTAAAATTTAGATTTTTTTCTTGACATCTGTGTTGCATGTTGTTGGTAAGTGCTGTCGAATCGGTTCCAACCCATAACAACCCTGTGTAGAGTTTCCAAAGAGCAACCGGTAAGCTTGAACTGCCTTGGGGTTGAAACTGACTTTGTAGACCAGTGCATTAACCCACAGTGCCACAGCAGGATTCTCTTGACATCTGTAAAGAACTCTAAAAGAAGGAATACACAGAGTCACTGTACCAAAAAGAATTCGTCAGTGTTCACCCATTTTAAGAGGTAGCATAAGATCAAGAACCGATGGTACTGAAGAAGTCCAAGCTGCACTGAAGGCACTGGCTAAGAACGAGGATCCAGGAACTGATGGAATACAACTTGAAATCTTTCAGTAAACTGATGCCACACTGGAGGCCCTCACTCATCTCTGCCAAGAAATTTAGAAGACACCAACCTGGCAACCGATTGGAAGAGATCCATATTTGTGCCCATTCCAAAGAGAGGTGTAACCCAACAGAGTACAGAAATCATCTAACAATACCATTAAGATCACATGCAAGTAAAATTTTTCTGAAGATTATTCAAAAACGGTTACAATAGTACATTGACAGGAAACTGCCAGAAATTCAGACCAAATTCAAAAGAAGATGTGGAACATAGGCTGTCACTGCTGACATCAGATGGATCTTGGCTGAAAGCAGAAAATACCAGAAAAGTATTTACTTACGTTTTATTGACTATGCAAAGGCTTTTAACTGTTTGGATCATGATAAACTATGCAACATTGCAACTAATGGGTATTCAAGAACACTTAATTGTGCTCATAAGGAACCTATGCACAGACCGAGATGCAGTTGTTAGAACAGAACAAGGAAATACAGAATGGTTTAAAATCAGGAAAAGTAGGTGCCAAGGTTGTATCCTTTCACCACGCTTATTCAGTCTGTATGCTGAGCAAATAATCTGAGAAGCAGTATTATATGAAGAAGAACATGGCATCAGGATTGGAGGAAGACTCATTAACAACCTGGAATATACAGATGTTACAAATCTTGCTTAAAAGGAAGTGAAGGGAACTTAAAATACTTACTGATGAAAGTAAAAATATATAGTTTTCAGTATGAGTTGCACCTCAATGTAAAGAAAACGAAAATCCACACAACTGGACCAGTAAGGAACATCATGATAAATGAGGAAAAGATTGAAGTTGTCAAGGACTTCATGCTGCTTGGATCTCCTGGCAACACTCATAGAAGCAGCAGTGAAAGAATCAAATGACAAATTGCATTAGGCAGATCTAATGCAAAAGATATCTTTAAAGTGTTCAAGAAGAAAGATGATAGTTAGAGGACTAAGGTGCGCCTGACCCATACCATCATATTTTTAATTTTGTCATATGAATGTGAAAGCTGGACATTTAATAAGTAAGACCATAGAAAATTCGGTTCATTTGAGTTATGATGTTGGAGAAGAATAGTAAGAGTCTCATGGACTGCCAGAAGAGCAAAAAATATGTATTGGAAGAAGTACAGCCAGAATGCTTCTTAGAAGTGAGGATGGCAAGACTTTGTCTGTCATATTTTGGACATGTTATCAGGAGGGACCAGTCAATGGAGAAGGACATCTTGCTCAGTAAAGTGCAGAGTCAGTGAAAAAGAAGAAGACCCTCAACCAGATGGATTGACAATAGTGGCAATAACTGTGTGTTCAAACATACCGATTGTGAGAATGGCACAGGATGGGGTAGTGTTTTGTTCTGTTGTGCATAGGGTCACTATGAGTTGGAACTGACTCAGCAACCACTAACAGCAAGAGTTGTTTAAATAGGTGGAAGGATGGAATGGCATAAAACTAGACCAGAGAAGTAGTAAGGATAATGGCAGTGTGAATCGAGGACAAGTTAGGGGAATTTAATCTACATTGAATGAGAGGGGAAAATAGGGTGGCTTGGGTTGGGTAACTAGAAACTACATACTAAAATTTATGTCATAAGAGTTTTTAAGCAAGATTATTGATTTAGTTCTAGGAATCATGAGTTTCAAGTTTTCCAAGCAGATGAGGGAAATTGTGTATCAATTTTTACAAATTAGGAAACTGAGAGTCAAGAAGTAATGGAATATGGTCACGATCAAACAGAAAGTGATGGAACTGCTATTCAGGTCCAGATTTTCTAACACCAAGTGCAGTGTTCTTCCATTTGCACCTTGGTAACCATCACATGTTGTTTCTTTTAGGAATTGGAAATACTGTTCTCTGTAGAGATATTTTCCCAAAGATTTTTCCTATTTGCTCTATAGTGTTCATTTAGGAGTTATCTGGTTGTGTAGTATAAACAAAGAGTCAGATTCACTAACATTTCTGTTCATTCTGTTCCCATTGCTTTCTAACTTGAAAGGAATACAGTAAGTATTGCTCAAAGTTGCCTGCTTTGCATATATATATATATTTTTTTTTTAAACCCCTTAAGCAAATTGTTTTTTAAAATGCCACAGTTTTCATCATACAAATATTCAACAATTTTCTTCCTTCCTGTGTATTTGTACTCCACCACACATCTGCCAGAGTCCCGGTGTGGTGCTATAGAATAAGAACTGGATTGCTAACCACAGGGTCAGCAGTTCAAACCCACCAGCCATTCCTGGGGAACCTTATCACAGGGTCACTGAGTCAGAACTTGCTCTACAGTGCTTAATAACAACAACCCATATTATCAGTTTGTTTACTGCAATGGCTTATTGTTGCTATAATGCTGGTAGCTCATCACCACTGTATCAAATACCAGTAGGGTTATCCATGTTAGACAGGTTTCAGCAGTTTCCAGACTAAGATAGACTAACATGAAAGGCCTGGAAATTTAATTCAAAATAATAATCAATATGAAACCCTTATGGATCACAATCAAATATTGTCCAACATAGTGCTGGAAGATGAACCCCTTAGGTGAAACATACCAATGATCATGAAGATGGCGCAGCACGGGCAGTGTTCGTTCTGTTGTGTATGGGGTCACCATGGATCTGAACCAACTTGATGGCAGCTAACAATAACAACATATATTTGTATTGTGGTTTGAAGAAGTTGTTGAGACAGATGCTATTGCCAGAAACTCACCAAAATAATATAGCCATGACTCAATGTTGATCCTTAATGTTTCAACTCCAGAAACTTGATTGTCAGCAGGCCAACAGATAGGCAGTCTCAGAATCAGCTCACATGTACACAGATCACAGGTGATCAGTATAAATCAGAATGGCAAGTTATCAATTTGCAATGTGACTGACATACAGACTCTACAAACTGTGTGCCAGCATTATTACCTTCAGGAGCCAAGTGAGAAGCCAATCAAAACTGTAGAATTGCTTGGTCATCGAGAGGAGCTAGATAAATCAATTGAAGCCTGATGTTTCCACCTGTTGAGTTTCTCTCACCTTTGGCAGTGCTAACTGAAAACTGCTAAATATTAGCTCTGTGAAAATCATTTTCTTCATGGTGACCATCTACTTTGTTGGTAGCACCTTTCTCTTCTAAACCCTGTCCTGTCTTTCTGCTTTCATCTTGAGCGATGCATGCTCTTCTCATTATTATCAATAATGATTTTATTAGTCAAATTTTATTTCTATTTACTGCTTGTAATCTGTATTTTGGAGTAGCATTCCTGAAGTTTTGAGGTGTACTAAAATAGAATATGGTAATAACTGCCAATATAATTCTCTGTGCATTTGTACAGTGAATGTATTTTACCTAGCTTGAATGAATATAGAAAAATATTCAAATGAGGTAACATATAATTATGAAATTTTATTCTAAGTTTTATATACGATCAGACTCAAAATACCAAACAGTGATTGTGTATGCTGTTTTAACCATGACCTTTATTTTCTTTTTATTTCCTATAGTTTATCATATTTTTCTATTAGCTCTTTTAGCAGAGAAAAGGTCAACAGTCATATTAGCAAAAGTTTGATGAGGAACCTTTAATAAAATGAGGTTTGGGATTTATACCTTTTAGTTTAAATCCTGCTTTTGAATTTTCTTTTTATATAGAATTAATTTTCAAGCATACGCAGAGGTAGAGAGAATGCTATAGTTAACTCAAAACCAACATCTGTCATTACTAACACTTTGCCTACCTTATTAAGTTTTTCTTTTCTGACACTGAAATGAACATATCTATTTTTAGTTCCAGAGGCCCCAGACCGACCTACTATCTCTACAGCATCAGAGACCTCAGTCTATGTCACATGGATTCCGCGGGCAAATGGGGGTTCTCCCATCACTGCCTTCAAGGTGGAGTATAAAAGGATGCGGAATAGTGATTGGCTGGTGGCAGCTGAAGACATCCCTCCTTCCAAGCTCTCTGTGGAAGTTCGTAGTCTAGAACCAGGTGATTTATCTAAACATTGCCTTTTTTAATCATCAGTGCTGATTTTAGATGCATATTTTCCACACCCTTATATTTTTCTAATTATTAAAGTAATATGTGCGTATTATACAAAAATTTGAAAATAAAGAAGCATGTAAGTTATCTAGAGTCTTGGTGTGGTGCTGTGGGTTATTGCACTGGTCCCCTTACTGCAAGATCAGATTGAACCCCAAGGTTGGTGGTTCAAGCTCACCAGAAGCTCCTCGAAAACTCTATACAGGGTCTCTATGAGTTGGAATTGACTTGGTGATCGCACTTAACAACAACAAACAACATAAATTACCTGGAGTTCACCTATCCAGAAATAATCATTGTTTGCATTTTGGTATATTTCTTTCTAGTCTAATCTACCATATAACTTTATCATAATTTACTTAACCTGCTCCGTATTATTAGTTGCAGATTGTTCTTTTTTTAATAATACTTCATTACGTTTTCAATGAAAGTTGACACATCAGATTAGGCTCTTATTTTGACAATATCTTTACAAATAGTTACATTTTCCACAATGTATCAGCTTTCTCATTCGTTGTGATGTGGCTTTTCTGTTTCCTGTGCTTTAGTTTCTCTATTCCCTTACCTTATCATCTTTGTTTATGGTACAAGCAGTCCCTGACTTATGATGGGGTTCCATTCTGATGACTGTTCTAAGTCAGTTCTGATGTAAGTTGAATACCTCTTTGTCTCTGTCTCGTTTTTTGTTCGTTTTTATTATTCTTACTTTTCATTATCAGTATTTTTATAAGCCTGTGCTGTGAACATCTGCCAGTGAACATCTAAAACATCTGAGAATAATAACATCAACAAATTACATGTTACAACATTATATATAGTACATTATATATGATACATATATTGTATATGGTACATACATTGTATATGGTACATACATTGTATATGGTTCATACATTGTATATAGTACATACATTGTATATGGTTCATACATTGTATATAGTACACATTGCTAATGATAGGGGACTACAGTGGCTCCATATAGTAAGCACTGGAATTCAAACCACAGGGTCCACAGTTCAAGCCCACCAGCCACTCCATGGGAGAAAGATGAGGCTTTCTACTCCCACCAAGATTTAAAACCTCCGAAACCGTATAGAGGATAGCTATGCATCAGAACTGACTGAACAGCAGTTACTAACAAAACAACAGCTAATGATAAGATAAACACCAAAAAAAGATGGTTGTATGTGCAGTTTGTCATAACTTGCATGTGTTGTAAGTTGGCGACTACCTGAAAATATTGACCTTTTGGTCTCATATACATGTTTTTTTTCATGGAGCTCTTTACTTACTGTACCAATCTGTTATTTCATTAAAAAGTTATCTCAGGGAATAGTTCAAGGTTTAAAGTATGTCAGCATGATAGTCTCAAGGAGAACTCTGGTCTCAACTGGTTTAGTTAGCAAGTCTGGACTTTTTAAGAATTTGAGTTCTGTTCCACGTTTTTCTCCATTCTTTCAGGATTAAGCTCTTGTAGTCCTGATCAGAACTATTGGTAGAAGTAGCAAGCGGGTCTCAGGTTAGATGAGGCTGTGAGACTTCTGTTTCCTTCAGAGTGTTTAGTTGTGTCTGTGACTATGTTCTCTATTAACGTATGTGTGTGCACACATATACCTGTATGTCACTTACTTATAGATACTTGTGTCTATGAACCTGTCTATACTTACCTGGACTACCATACATGTATATGAGGATAAGTAATAAAACTATTGCTAAAAAAATCATACACATTTTTATTAAACAAAAATATAAAAATGTGAAGCTATTTTTTTTTTTTT